AAAGAAATTTCAACAAACATAAGTAACCCAATCTGTGTGTTTCCCTAGCCCAAGCTCCCTCCATTTTTACCGTCTTTTCTAAGTCTAGATCAAGTTTCATTTGAGTTTTCAGGGRTGAAGGTTGTTATTTCTGCCTTCCCCTCAACCCGACTCAATTTCTTTGTCTTTGCTTTTTAACACCAAGTTGAAATTATCAGGGATATTCAAAAAAATCTTCGTTGCACCTCCCAAATCTATTGTACAATAATGAAGAAATAGGTAAATACACAACATCACAAAATATATAGCAACACACAGAGCCCACTGGAAAAAATATTCCTCCYTTTATTTAAGTTGTGCCTAAAAATTCCCAAAGTGCACAATATAAAACATATACCAATACAAAATATATACCATAAAGTTAACACAGTGAACCCATATAATACGTTAGTATTATGTTATTGCAGTCAACCACAGTGRTCTTTTWGGCATTTTTCTAATTGAGAGGGACRACAWTTTTTTTTCCTATTCCTACCTTGAAAGAAAATTKTAAGACCCACTGYTRTTTTGTTTAAGTGCAGGCAGATTCCACAAAACTCAAGTRTATTTTCTAGAATTTGTTAAATTTTATGAGGGAGTGGCTCTTCCCCAGTCAAAGTCAAACCCTGGGAAGCTTCTTCCATCATTCATCAGCTGAAATTTTTGACAGGTTTTATATTGACTATGGCAGAAGGTGAAAATATCTACCAAGGGGAGCTTTTCTCTGGCTGTTGTTTAGAAGAATCAAATCTCCAAAATAACTGCTTAATCCCCTTTGAAAAGTAGTTTCTGAAGGATGACTTTGAAACAGGGGCAGAAGGAGGCACTAGCCTCCATCTCTCTGAGGAAATGGCAYGCCAGCAGAGCAGGAAGGAGAGTTGATACAGAAGCATGAGGGCAGCAATGCAAGGGAGAAGCCCCCAAATCATAGGGGTTATTACAAAAAAGGAACTTTTCACATGGTCAACACGAGTGAATCTACACTTGCAATGAGCCAAGGCAGACTCAAAGCAATCATTAAGGTGACTGAACCAAGCATTCAGACAGTACTAAGTGACAGAAGAATGACCATGCAACCTTCAGCTTGGCCCACTTAATAAGCATTAAATACAGTCTATAATTAACTCCACGTTCATATGCTGATCCTCCTTTGGAAATCTCATTTAATGCAACACAAACATAGATTCTGCTCAGGGAATGATTCAGAAATTGTAGTGAATGAGACTCTTGTTACTAAGACCTGGCCAGCCTCAAAGAACTACTACAATATAAATATTTAATAATAACAAAAGCATGCAACTCATTGCCAAGCCCAGATGTTAGAAAGTGACTGCAAATCTTGGCATTTGGTGGCACCTAGTAATCCACTGGCTGAGTCACTAATGTGATTGATAGCCTTAAGTTGTYCAGGAACTGTTGCCCCCTCTGAGATTTAAAATCTGTGAATTGTATCATATTTTTCGTATAAGTGCTTTTCTCTACACAACCAGCAAATGTCGGATGTTATCCTTACAGGTTTTAAAAAGCCTCTGCTGCTTGGGAAAACTCTTTACCAGGGAGAAATGGATGCAACTGGCCTGTTTCTATACTTAGTGCATATTTTGTTTTGATATTCTAATTCTGGCAATGATGTTATGGTTGGTACAAGCATAACTAAAAGATAAACTCCTCTTGCAACAGATCTTTCTCACTAACCTTCTCCTGAAGAGTCTTATGCCTTGTTTTGACCAAGGGAACAACTCATTCATGAACTGCATTGCCTATGGAAGTCCTCAGCTTTCCATTCATCCCTTATGTATTAACAATCCCCTCCTCGATACCATCCTGTGCTCTAAAAGCTGTAAGACTTTCCAAAGAAGAGCTACCCTAGGCACAGGCACCAGAAAAGAAACATCTTCCAWTTGAATATTCTCCTTTCCAACAAGACTGGTCAGTCGTTTTTTCCATGAAGCACCCACACATAATCTCTAGTACTGTCCATCCCCTTACAGGTGAGATTCCTGTCCACACAGCCTCCCTAAAGCTACAGCAATGCATTTATCAGACACAGCTCCCACAGAAAACACTGCTCAAGGGCTTCTGACAGAATTCCTTCCAAAGGGAACAAATCTGGTTTCATTAACATTTCCATGAATCTGGGGAGAACARAACCATTACATTCCTGTAACCACAGCAGACTGTGCTATATATGAATAACAGGCCCTGGACATCTGCAGGGTAGAGGACATTCAAGTAGCAATGCAAAAAAACCTCAAAGATGCAAAGGCAAATGGACACATTGCTACTTATTTATGTCAAGAGCTTTCCATTGTGTGGCATTTAAAGAGCAAGTCAGAGCACTTAAGTTTTAATGCAGATCTACCTCTGTAGAAAATGTTCATCTTCCAGGCCATTAGTTTCAATGACATCAACTGACACAACCAGCAACAGGTTTTGAGCAAATGAAAGATTAAGGAAAAAAATCCTAAGAAAACCAATTATTGCCCTAAGTGCTTCAAGTCACACAATATTCTTACATGCTGACAATTAAGTGAACCCTGCAAAGTTATGATGTATGGCAAGATGCCACCAGAATCATTATATCACAACAACAGATATAATTCAATTACTTCTGCCAGTAAAGTCATYAGTGCAGAACATATCACCCCTTTCATCTCTAACCATTTTTTTTTAACTAGAAGGTGCTTTTATGATGGTASCATCTTGTCACAGAAAGTATTTTTAACCACTAAATTCCATTGAATTCAGTCTGTACTTAGAAATTTGGTACACAGACCATAYGAAGTGAACTTGTAGAACAGTAGCAAAGTCCCCTAAGCTATCACCCATTTTTCTTCTAAAATTGATGCAGTATGTTTTATGGCATATTCAGCCATTTTCTGTCTTCCTTGATATCAAAAAATAAATTACAGAATAATTCAGCCTGGAAGTCATCAGTCTATTCTAAAAGCAGGATGAGCATTGACTCCACAGAAGAAACAAAAAAACAGCAACAAAAAGAAAAGAAAAAAAAACCCAAACAACCAAAACCTAACTAAGTTGCAGTTTAAAAAAAAGTTGTTTCACCTATGTACAATACTTGCTTTCTTTGTTCCTTAAGTTAACTCATAGTATTTATTTTAATTATGCTGATTTTRTTACAAGTCTTTCTAGAAGCTAACTTTAGGGCTTTGAAAAATAAACATGAATATTTAGAGTGCTATATATTTTTTAAGTAGTCAACAAAATCTTTCTTTAATCAAACTAATGGAGAGTTTTTATCATGGGGAGGCTTTAAGAAAATAAATCAGTGTTCTGGAAGCCCTCCAGCAGGTAAAAACTTCACTTGGCCTCWTACTGAAAAATAAGAAAAAGCAGACCATGTCTTGGAGAGCTGTAATCAAATAGTAAGTAAGCAAAGAAGAGAAAAAAGAATRCAACAGAGGCTTGAAGGGAAGGAAGACTCAATGGGATTTGCTAAAAGCAAAATGAAAAGGACAGTGCATGCAGACAGAAGGAGGAGCAAGCTTGAAGCAATGGACACAGCACAGACTGGGATGCCAACTGTGTGTGGACAGTCAACAGGCGTGCCCAATAAATTGGGCATCACAAAATATACAAAAATAGCCTGGAAAAACAAATCACTCTAGTTAAAAACTTAAAAAACATTTTTCCCTTACCAGCACCAAGACATTCACTCAAAGGTCACTTACCCCCTTCACAGTTTTGGATTTCTCTCTTTGCTTTGACTTCCACATGTATGAATTGAAGGTAACATATCATGTGAATTGCATCCCCCAGGGTTGTATGGGTACACACAATATTGTCTCTACATCCCAGGGATGTCCCAATACAGAAAATTCAACAAAGAAAATTAATAACTCTGTCACCAGGAGGGATTCCACACAGCATGCAACAAAAACTGCATAGAAGACTACCCTGACCTATTCGTGCAGTCAGCACTATCCTTCCTGACCACTGAACAAAATACAGAGCCTTAGGARAWAAATWAATAAAYAAATAAATCATTGTTACTCCTTYTTTGTCATACATGTTCTGCTACCTTTTTGCCATATGTTACTGTAATTGAGTTTATGTACCCAGCTGCTCCTGCAAAAGAAGCTCCTACCTAGAAACTTTCTCATCTCCTGCAAGCAGCAGTTCCCAACACACTTAGGAGGCTTTTATTCCATTATGGAAGCTCACAAGCTGCTCAGCAGGACTTTATTGAATTGTTTCACACTACAGGTACAATGAAATTCTCAAAACATTAAGGATGAGTTTTATATTGACATGGTATCACGGGGGATGTATTTCCAAGTCACTCAAAGCCACGAGATTGATTCTGAGCCCTTTTAAGTAGAAGGTTTTTAGCAGTGTTTTTGCACCCAAMACCAAAATTCCACCAGGTTGCTGACCCCTGAAACAGGGTCGCTGCTGACCCCTAGTGTTCAGCGATCCAGGCTCAATTCCACTGATTTAAGGCAAAAASCACGAGGAGCATCTTCATCTTTCAGCGCTGCATCGTCTGTCTGACGTAGCAAGTGGTCCCTGCCTTGTGCTGAGGTTCTTTCTGTTCTATTTTATCAGCAAAAATAGTGGCATTCATTTATAAAGAAACAAGTAGGAAGGAAATAAAAACTCCCAAGCATCCCAGAAAATTGCAGATTCACAATCTGTCTGCTTTCACATCTTTAATTCATTTTTCACTCGGAAGATTAAGAGAAGGTTATCTAGAGCAGTCTGACAGTCATGGCTTCAAGTRGGTATTTATAGCCTCTTGATCAGTTATTAAGGAATTAATGACAGTGAACCACAATCCAAGCTGGCCTGCAAAGCCCAGTACAAGGAAAGGAGTTGTAATTGCCAGGTTGCTGCAGGACTGGGCTGTCCCAGGTACAAGTGTACAGTCCAGCGAGCCAGCTGCTCAGGTGACATAAAAGCTGCTTTAAACAGAAAGCTGCAACTACAGAAATGAAGAAGAGTCTTACTGTTCTACTTACAATTTTGAGTCCAGGTTCAGGAGAAAGCCCAGTTTGTCATATTCTGGAAAACAAAAGCAAAGGACACAATATCATAAAAACTGCAAAYGTCTCCTCTGCAAAAGGCACCAAAACCAAAGAGCAGCAAGTCCTTATAGCAGCTGTTAATACAGRTTATTGTTACTTCAAGGTATTCCCAAATCAACATTTCTGAATCTCCAGGAAATACCAGAGCAAGAGAACACATGGGAAACCATTAATTTAGAAACCACTACAATTAGTCAAGATGTCCGTAATCATAAAAATCAAGCATTACTGAAACCACTTATGCAGTGATAAACAAAGCTTTCCTGCTTGCTGTACAAATAATTTTGCCATAAAACGGAATGACAAACATTCCTCCTAAGTTCTGATGTGCTAGAGCTTTGAAATTTTTCTTCATTCCTTGTCTATTCCAACCCACAACACCATAATCAAACAGCTCTTCTTCAAGAGAAAGTGACTCACAGTGGCAAAAATGCTTAAAGTTCATTTGTTGTTGTTCAACAGGAAACTGCAAAGTCAGTTTATGCCACAAACAGAGGATAGCTACAGAAACAAAGTTATCACTCAGAACATCCGTAACTTCTGTATAAAGTAAGCTTTGCATTCAGCATCTCTGAATATATTGTGATCRYGTAAACCARACATTTGATTCAGAAAAATAAAATYACTGGAATTCACATGAGACATACAAGAAAAAGGTGTAGTGCCCTTCTTGCACAGGGTTAAGCTCAGGGGCCTCCTCACACTGAGAGCCCCTGGGTCTCACTGCTATACAACAAAAAAGTAATACAAAGAGAAGTAAAATATAATCAAATAAGGGAGTAAAACAAACAACAAGAAAAAAAATCTCATAAGCTTTTAGAAAGAGCTCATTGGAAATACAGGATTACTTTACTCATGAGACACTCCCAGAATTTCTGGTGCAGCAGTTTACCTCAGAAGACCACAATCTTTTCACACTCTTTTACTGGCACAACGGGAAACCCTAAAAACGTACCTGAGACACAACAATTGCATCAGATAGGTCAATGTAAACTGTGCCATTAGTTTCAATCCCATTAAGATTTAATTCCTGAGCCAAGGGAAGTATTCTATTTGACATAACTTAGGTCACAGAAGCTGCAGAGCACGTGCACACTCRATACTGGCACGTACTGTCTGTTCCCTGCCAGCACCCGAGTGCCACCCCCGTGAAACCATCCCCGTTCCACCTGTGCATCTCTCCTCCACTTTCCAGTACTGACAGTTCTGTTTCCCCCATGTGCTGCTTTCCTCATAAGTTCTTCCCAGTTCATGCCTCCTACAAGAAATTAYGTCCTGTCCAACCCCACCTCCTCTGCATGTAGGATTGTGCATAGGAAGGTATCCATTCTGGAAAAAGAAACACGCCTTCAATTTTTATTAATCCTTCTGATTCTCAAAAACAACACTTGTACTAAGCAAACAGCAACAAAGATTTATTTAAAAAAAAAAAAATCTACAGCCACTGACCCATCTGTCACCAGTCTCACCACGTTCAAAGCAACATTGCCTTCTTCCCAACCAGAAATACAAAAAGACAAAATGCAATAAAAAATATCACCTCATAACTACAACATCCTGGGCTTTCTACTAACTCAGCACTTCCTAAGCTTTGCAACCAAAGCAGCAGAACACAGACACAAGCTAAACACCAAGGAGCACAGCTGACAGACYTCCATTGCAATGTTTCACAAGATTTACCTTTCTCTTTGTCACAAGTGTTTCACTTCTCCCAGGTCCAAAGTTTTGATGGTCACTGATCATTACTGACAGAGATATGAAGTAATTTTACAAAATTGTATGTCAACTTCCTTGCAACAGGCACTTTCCTAAACAAGTATTACAAAACAAAACAACATTTCTGGTTTCAAGCTAGAAGCACAGGTGTGTTCTTGATTTTCAGTAGGGTATAACTATAATTTCAGGCTGACCAGAAGCATCTACGCCACTTCCTCTCTTGGCTGGYGAGATGTGCAAGCTACTGCAGGCAGAGAAATACTGCCCTCACCATGGACCATCTCACACTCACTGGCACTTCTGGAAGTCAGCATTTCTATTAGCTTGGAAATSAATCTCTATCACATGCTGCTCCCCCAGGAAAGACATTAGGATCCTCTAAAAATACAGACTCRGAGTTATCTTCCTTTTTAGCAAAAATTAGAATTTTGTTACAGACTTCCAATGTCATTTAGCTGTATCRCTATGAATGCAGGGGCCAAAAGTCAGCCCACATGCTGGCTGGAAGCAGCCTGAATTCAAAACAGACAGATAAAGCCCCAAATATCTGAAGAAAGCCAAACACTCACAGCCAAGCTGCAGGGAAAGSCAATCCTTGTCTGGAGTTACATATTTAAATTAGACCAAGATGAAACACAGACCCACTAAATCAAAGTATATCTGAACTCAAAGCACAGTTTGGTCAGGGTGTGATGATTGAAGGATGGGGACCAAGCTGATCACACAGCTCACAGCTCAAGAAAGGAGCAATTCCATTCCTACCCTTTCCTCCACTGAAAATAGGGGTGGCAATAGCCTGCCTTGGCACTTCATGTCACCTCTCTGTGCCCTAACTTATAGGTTGCTTTCTCCTCCCATCACCTTAGTTTAAATCTTTACCAAATTAAACACTTGATACACACAGAAATATTTCCCCTCTTTTCCATGCAGTGCAATAAAGAAGTGCTGGAATATCAGAGAAAACAGAACAGTTAGAGAGAAGAAGGTAAAAAGTCTCCAGCTTCTCCACCAAAAACCAGCTGGGTGTGTTAACTGTGGCTTGATGTMAGCCTCCACCAACCTCATCACACAGGATCTATTTTTAGAGCAAAAAATGAATAAARGTAATAAAGAACTTAGTTTGCATCCTCTGGAAGAACATAATGGAATAACCTGAGCAAGGCTTTATGTTATCAACCCACAAAAGACTGAAAGGCCCATGAAAGATAAAAGCATTATTAAAAGGGCACAAGGCAATCTAAAGATGACACTCCCCTGTGCTAAAGAGCTATGGGTCTCAGCTGACCATGAGGCACAGAAGCACAGAAATGAACAAACATGGGAGATGCAGTTTCATCATGCCCCATAAGAACAAGAGGTCATCTTAGGTCAGAAACAAAACGTATTTCTGCATTTCCAGGAAGATCAGGATTGAATAAAAATCTAACAACTGACAACAATTTCATAATAAAGCATGTAATTGGGATTACATGAACAGAAATAGAGCCAAGCATAGCACTTTCTATAAATTATGCAAATCCTGTGCCAAATATTCAATGTTGGCATTAGCACGCAAATTTCTCCAAAGAATCTAACAGAAATCCAGCTACCAGGCTGCAAGTGAGAAATGCATTGTCTAATGTCTGTAAACTCCATGCAGACCACCCAGAAAGCCATAAAGCCCAGTGTACAACATCTACCAAGTTTTCAAGTTGCCTTTTGTATCTGCAGCCAATATAGCTATATAGAAGCAAAATGGGGAAAATTTTCCCCTTATGCTACTAATCTAAAACCAACAATCCAGGAATTAACTTAGCACAGTGGTTTTATTTTTTCAAACAACCCATAAGCAATTTCACTGATTACTTAAGTACTGTCCTTTTTAGCAGCCAGCTACTGAGAAGCACAATACAAATAACTTTGCCCACAGAAACAGAAAATTAAATTTTTTTTGAAAGACGGTCTATGTGCAGTTCTAGTTCTGTGTTTAACTTGCGAGTACAGGAGGAAAGGCAGAAGATTCAGTATAGCTATTTTATTCAAAATGCTTGTGTTTGTCAAAGAAATAAGCACAATTCTCAAGAGGCAGAAGTCCTATCAAGAATGTTCAGACCACCCTGATACATTTCATCCTGTCCAGTGCAGTTTGGTCTCTGCAGAACTGAGGCTCCAACTGAGCCAAGCCTTGGTCACTATTCACAAGCAAGTTCTACATCTGTGGCAAAGGCCACAGGTAAAATTACTTACTCTGCAATGAAAAAGGCCAAACACATCACATTTACCTTGGACTAAGAAAACACATATGGACAGTTATAAAAGTTCAGCTGATGTGAAGTAATTCTGCTAGAACTCGAGAGACAAGAAAGAATTAATGAAAAAAAGTAATGTTAAATGGATCAACTGAAAAGGACAAAAGAAAGCTTTTATTCCAGGGTTAAAAAAATACCAGTCAGGATTACTGAGMAATAATCAAAGTGCTGGATAAACAAAGACTTAATGTTGCATCCTTTGCTTAGGATTTTCACTTTAACCTCTTCAGTGATGGAATTTACCRATGAAAGCATTATCTTCTATTTAAATAACCAGGGAATAAAAAAGACTGCAAAAGCAAGCCCAGGAGTGGTAGAGCTGAGGCCACCGGAGCTTCTCAGCACAATTCTGCATGGACTGCACACAGGTCTATGTTTCAGCTTCCTCCTCAGACCCATTTACATTCTGGCATACACACTGACCAACCTGCTTCTCCAGGTTGCCAAATGACATCAAGGAAAACACCCCAGAAAACTGATGGGACACAGCCCAGTCCCTGGTGCCTTTCCCTGMCTCTACAGAAGAAGCAGAAGTGACACCTGTAAAGCTGAGAGCTCAGCCCTTGCAGCCCAGCAGCAGAAGCTTACCCCAACAATCTACATCTACACATCCTAATAAAACTATGGCARCCTCCAATGGTAGAAGAGCAACTGACTGCTTCAAGCTGAATTTAGGAAAGRCTCTGATAGGAAGATGAAAAATTTCCTCCTATGATCTGCATATGCCCTTTTGCTTTTCCCAGGAAGTCATCTGTTTCAAGCCAGACTACAGCCTTTGTCAAACAGTTATTTTCATTTACTGCCACGAGTCCACTTGGCAAATGGAGTTCATGCTGCCCAACTGGATCTCCCAACACACTCTTTATTCTATAAATTGTATTGTATTTCCTAATAAAAGTCAAGAACAATATTAAGAAAACAGTAATATATATTGGCTTTTAGCGACTTCAGGATGTGCTGATTTGATGCAGAGATGTGTCACATGAGAGAGAAAAATCCCATTTAAATACTTTTAATTCAAAGTATTCATTAAGCCACTTCTTGACATTTGCACCTCAACTCATTCAGAGCYRTATTTTCAACTGGAGGAACAGARCATTAATAAGAAGACAGATGCTRCTGAACACACTGACAAAGTCACATAAGGACTATGAAACTGCTTCATGACAGTCRCTGGCAAAGATTCAAGCGGCTCCCACAGTGTACACTCCGAAAAATAAAGAATTAAGTAGAACTTCATCAATCAAAAATGAAAAGGGAAAAGCATTTTTGCAGAATAAAGCCACTAAAATCAGCAGAGAAAATATGTATTTCCCTTTGTTTCTGCCTTCTTTTGCTTACTTTTTCAGGAATGCAGAAATATAAAGCACAATAAGTTCATCTCTCCTTTTCCATCATTCCCATGCAGCACTAACACAGAAATGCAATTTGGGTGAAAAAAACCCAACACACTAGAGCCACATCAGCTCCAAATATAAATTAAAGTTGCTTTTCTCAAACCAAGAACATCTAAAGTTCATTACCACTGACCGGGAAATCYGGGAAATATCAGAGTTTGCAACTGTAGCCATCTGTACTATCAGAGTATCACTGAGAAGTCAAACAAATAGCAAGGAATCTTCTGCAAGTTTTCTCTTATGCTAGGAATCTATCACTACTCTACCCATTTGACAGCTCATTCAGTTGTATTTCTATTCCTGGCCTCCATCTATACAACTCTCCATGCAATCTGTAGGGAACTAGTCACCAAATTCATTCTGGAGTTGTATTCAGTAGGACAGACAGSGTTATTCTCATCCTTTACAAAATGGTTATCTGAGCATCTTCAGCAGCTGAATGAAACAGAAAGTTTCTTTCTCAGCTCTCACAGCTTCTCCCAAAATGGTTATGGACTTTGGCTTACGGAACCAGGGACAGCAAACTCCTAAATAAGCACAGATTTAAATTCTCAGATGATTACTCCACTATCAGTGTGAACTCAGCATTTGGAAGCATAATCTTACACGTGAACTTTCACAAGCACATGCGCTGCAGCAGAAACACKACTCTAAACCAAAGTTTGGAAATCMAGAAGAGTYAATACAAATTCAAACAATTTGAGCAAGACCTAGACAACACTCAGTTGCTTGCAATGTTGGAACCAGCACCTTWAAGCCTGCAGTGAGGATATCTGCAATGAATCAGTGGTCAGTACTGCAATCAAACACGTCTAACAAGAATATAAGCCTACAGCCCAAAGGTATTCAGTATTTTCAGCAAGCATGGTAACATCTGGGAAACTTGCACATTCAGTGCACTCCTACCCAAGGCTTAGAGAAGAAAAATGTAGCTTGCTTGCTGTCACACACAGGAGGTAGGAAAAAATCTTGACCAAAAATAGCAGGGGTATAAATCTGACTTTCAAAGTCCAATGTTTGATTTGGTAGCAACAAGGTAAAACAAAGCAACTMGAAAGGAAAGAAAAAAAATAAAARGAGCACTAGCTGTYCATGGCAAGTAAATGAAATCTAGGTCTCCTCAAATACCCTGTGTACTCACTGCTTCCCAATGTTCAGAGCATGACACCCTTCTCTCTGAAATGGTTTCAGCTGAAACACTGGCCTAGACATCACATCAAACACTTATCTCAGCTGCTCAAGCTTTATCTTTCAAGGGAACCGACAGCCGTGAAGAGAATTACAAAAACATCTGGACTGGTGAAGGCTGGACCAGAGCATGAACCTCACAGTTCAGCCTCACTCAAAGCACATTTGGCTCTACCCAATAATCTCCTATGAAGCATTACATTAAGGCTCCACAGCCAGAGGAACTTCTGAACACTCAGTTCAGAAAGCTTAACCACAAAAACCTAGACAGAGTCATTAATCTGAGTTGCATAAGGACAGATTGCCAGCAACCCTGAGAACTGTGATTTGCATGTGGGACAAAGTTAAGGGGAAAGTCAAGATAAGGAYAGTCAGTTCAAGTAAGATACAGAGGCTGCAGCAAGACACTGCCCTTCACAAGGCATGATTAACAAGTACCAAAGAGCACTTYTAAGCTGTTTAGTATGCAAATATAAGCACCAGTTTTAAGCAGCATGAAACCCTAACAGGGAGACACAGCTGATGTTGACTAATAACAAAAAAGGTATATGTAATTTTATGTTTCAAAGCATGTAACTGTAGCCCCTTCTTACCCCAACCTGAAACATCACCTACTGGGAATGGCTGGGCCTGCAGCTGCCATGGTTTCTGTGGGTTCTTTCTGGGCTCTGTCTTTTCCTGGGTCTGCAGCAAGGTGAGATGGGATGGACAGCGGAAGCACAATAGCCACAGTTTTTCTCTCTCTCCTTCCTGTTCAACAAGGAAAGCTATCCCTCAGTAGGGCAGACATCATACATSTTATTACACATATCAGTTCAGAGCAAGGTGAAGTTTGCAGCACAGTGAGTGCAAAGTACTAAACACAAGAGCAATAAACATACAGCTCTCTAGGACATTTCTGAGCCTTCCTTATCAAATATATGAGTTTGCTTCACATTTCTTCAAGGCAGAAATTCAGCTTTGTCACAGTGAAAGGTTTACAAAAGATCAGGTCTTACTGTCTCAATTCCTAACCAATCCAAGCCTAAGCTGTAAAATGCAAGCTTTCAAAACAGACCCAGGCAGTCACATGAGCCTGTCTCCCACCCTTCATATTAACAGAACTTCAAAAGACAAAGGGCAGTTGAACAGTTTTTCTTCACTAAGTTTATTTTCCTACTGGTAGCAACATTTATGGTTAATTCCATAGACAAAAAACCTGTGACAAAAATTCAGGGAAGGTATCTTAAACCTGTGCAACTTCTCCCCTACTTTGTCAGACTAAAAAGACCATCACTCAATCTAGGAGGCAAGAAACATACCACTTCAGTTATGTCATATTAATTAGTGAGAGAGAATGAATAGAGGGTTTCTTCCCCCATAAACACAACAACATATCCATTTGGCACCCTAGAGATACTCCCACATCAGATCATGCACAAAGAATAAATCTATATCCAGATGTAAGTTTTAGAGGAGATACAGGGAGAGTGGAAAATGTTTGAGGTGTTTTAAACAAARTAAGTTACTACCACTAGCTCAGGGGTTAGTAAATCAGAAATGTGCTCAAGCTTTACTGTTAGTGTCAGGCAGMAGGCTCTGTTTCAAACTGTGCAGGCAGAAGACAGGTGCTATGTTGGAAGGCAGCAGGTTCCCCCTATCAACCTAAGAGGAAAGGCTGGCAAGCAAGATTTTTAAAAAGTAATCCAAGCAAAGGTTTTGTCTTTTCTCGAAGATAATAAGTATCCCCATCTTTTAAGTGTTAAGGGGTTTAAGGTTATAAGAGCAATTCTTAGCCTTTCCATTGCACTTCATAGTTCATTATATGCATACTGTAAAATGAATTTCATCAAGTATCATGCTYACTATGGCGTGCCTTGGCTGTAGCTTGTGCATTACACACAGCCAAATGGAGAGTTACCAATCTAGGGAAGTGCCCCCAACACAAAAGAATTTTTTATTTCTGGTTCAGTTTAATTGTAGGTCATGCTTAGGTTCCAAAGGAAATTGGATTGGGAAGGATTTGCCCCGGGGTTCGATAATTCTGGTCAATCTCCACCCAAAAAAACATAGTTTCCAGTTCTATTGGTTTAGATTTGACTCTTTCGCCTTCTCCTTCCTGGAAGCATTCCTGATATCTTTCCCCAAATAACTCAACTGTTTGTTTAGCTGGGAAACTCTCCTAGTAGCACGAAACAGTTTTTCTTCAGCTGGTGGATGACATCATCTTAATGCCTTTCACATGAGAAGAGAAGCACAAACTGCATCAGCAACACRTGTCCAGGTCGTTTCCTTGCTGGGTAAGGGAAGAGTCCCGCAGGTTAATCCTCGTGTCACACTAAGGCTCTTACTCCCACTGCACCTAGGAAAGGACCTGTTTACCCTTTGGCTAGATGTTGATTCCCACACAAGTCAGTGTCCTGCCTCCCAACATGGCTACCATGTCCAATTCAGTAGAAGCCTTGTCATGAGGTGGGAGATAGAGAAGAAGGCAATGTTGTACCTGAGCCTAGTGTATGTCCAACGGAGTCAAAGGAAAGAACCACTGAATCTGTAACACAAGAGTACAAGGTTCATTTTTCCCCTTTTTTTTCAGCACCATTTCTTGCTGTAACATTTTTTTGTTATTGTGCTTAAGTAATTCCTTGTTCTCCCTTCTGCCAGGAAGCAGAACAACTTCTTCACCAACCAGAATACAACAATACAACAGGCATCTAGCAAAGGCAGAACAGAGTGTGCAATAAATCACCATGTAGCGTGACACACAAAGTGCCATTAACCAATGAAGTTACAATTCATTGAAAATATTTTCATTTTATGTCTAATAAGCTTGGTCAACTGAATCATAACATGCTTTGACTTCTGGACTAGAGAGTTTTTTCTTATCAAATGTGTTACCAATCTTTTGTTCCCACTTAGGGGCCTTGCCTGTTATGAACAGTTCTTCCCTGGTACTGTTTTCTAAGCCAAGCACTTTGTGCTCTTTGCACTTCTCACCATGTTTCCCACATCTTTACTCACAGTAGTGACTCCCCAACTCAATGCATTTCAATTTTTCAATATCCTTTCACCCTTGAGTACAATATGCAGCACATGTGCCAAACATCAAGAAAATATAACCTTCCTACTTGATACCTTTTCATTTATTCATCTGGGGATCACAACAATGCTTTTATCCATGATTGCAGTGACAACTTTTTCTCACCAGTTCATGCCTTACACTTTTAGTAACAGTTCCATTTGATGGGGCACCCTTGACATCAACTGTGGTTGAAGTTTTTATCATGCAATTTGACATTTGGCCATGTAAAAACCCTTACTGCCTGCTTGGACTCAGCTCACCCCATGATCCAGACCCCTTTATTAGTCATTCATTTTCCTCATATACCGCCCATCCAGACTATAATCTGCAAAATTATCAGTTATAACTCGATATTCTGTCCCAGTTGGAGCTGCAATACAGTATCAGGCTCAATAATGGGGTTTTCTCCCAGCTTTATGCTTATTTGAGACAAATCAACATTTATTTTGGCAGTCAGCCTCCTGGTTTACCATYTATTTTCATGGCAATCCTAACTGAAGGAGAAAGCCTACCAAATTCTGCTTCCCTACCAGTGGAGCAGAATTGGACCCAGAACTTAGAGACAAATTACCAATGGGCAAAACACAGAAAAGAACAAACCACCACAATCGGATTATAATTTTACGGAATGGGAAGCTTTAAACTGACACACCAATAGCAGAACTGCCTTTCACCTTTGCCTAAATGAATAGATTGAATCCTTTGATGTTTCTCTTTGTAACTTAGGTTTCAGATGTGATCACACACCCATTGCAGCACCACAAAGGCTGCCARGGTGCAAGCCCTCGGTGCAAGGCAAAAATCCCAAGCATAAGAAGACTTAGCCTGTTGAAAAGAGTTTAAGGTCCAGCTGCATCACTTGAAATTTGGGCAGGCTACAGTCACAGGCATTGGCAGTTACTGCGTAAGTGATGAAAATAACTTGACACAGGACTCAGCCCTTGGCTTCTCTACACTTTATATTATCCTCATGCTTCTTTTCCCTAGCTCTTAAAAAKGCAATAAGAAAGTGCTAATTTTCAAAATAGACACTGTTGTTTTAATAAAGGACTGTTAATTTGACTGAGTTTTAAAGGATTTTAAAAAAGAAGGTCTGTGCTGTCTCAGAGCCAGCACTATGGTGGTAATGTTAAAAAAATTAAAAAGAAGATATTACTAGTCTCAAAACTTACTCCAACAAAAACAAAAATCCATCAGGATTTAACAACTGTATTTCCTCTTTTGGGAATAAAATTCAGACATCATTATATTATTCTAAATAGCAAGGAGTTTAATTCATTTTAACTGCATTAACTTAATTTGCCATCAATTCTAAAATATCTCTGCGGGGTTCTACTTTTAAAAAGCTGTTGAGATTTTCATCAACATAAAGTACTGTTTTGTAGTTCATGTCAAATTAAWTGCTGTTAATTTTCCTGAAATATATTTTGCATTCAAACACTGCACATGAAATATTAGGACTTATCAAAGAATGGCTGAAAAGCACTGCAAGCACCAAATTAGTAACATTATTGCAACCCAGAAAAAATAGTATAATGTTTCATWCCCTTAACCAAGAACGTTATCTTCCTCATATAAAAAAACAATTTACAAGCAGAGTAAGCATGTGAGCTCCCTTTTCCAATCCAGTCCTTCATGCTACTATTAGTTTCAACACCAAATTCACTGTGAACAATCTCTATTAGAGTCAACTCCCTTTCGACCTCCACAAGTAATTTCACAAAAGATGGACCTTTACTAAAACACTGTGTTTATTTCTGGTMTTACCACTTCAAAAATGAGGAAATKATAAACCTGAAGAGAGCTGAGAAGATAATAATGCTCCCATTTTGCTCTACCCAAACAGCTACTCACATCCAGCTGAGTTCATAGCTACARGTTATTTTTATCAGAAATTGATGGAGATAAGCATTTTTTTTKATGCAAGCCAGATTTATTTCCAAATACACCGAGTTCTGCTTCCACAAACATAGGAAGAAAAGTTTCTTTGCTTCTARTTTCAAATCTCTTCCAGTCATTGCTCAGTTCAAAACCCACCTGACTTCCCAGGGTTTTTTTTCTGAGCCAAAGTGGCAGCTCAGTCTGTGCCCATTGCCTTTTCCCCAAGAGCTTGAGCCTGCTCTACCTTTCAAAGGCAACCTTGAAAGGCTTTACCCTTCAAAACTTACTAAGACACAACGTGCACTTACATGCACCCTTGCTTTAGGTGTCAGGAATTGTTCCTGCCTGAAGGAGCAGTCCCCAACCTTTCAGATACCTACTTCCATAAAGAAACTTAAATGTTTTTCCTCCTGCCTTAATTGAAAGGCAGTCTTTGAGCTCAAATTGTGAAATCTGACACACAGTAACTTGCCAATATGTACAGCTTAAGGCTGCACACGCCACAGTGCCAGTCTTTTACATCTGTTTTCATGTTAACTACGATCTTTTTTTTTCAGTGGATATAGCAGCTTAAAATAGAAAAGAAAAAAAACAAACCTCAAAACAACAAGATACAACAAAATCCAAATGYAATTCTGGATCTTATCCAGTCCATCAGAAGAAGCAAAGACAGCACAAGCACTCAATTTAGAAGGCACTCAGTGCCAGGAATAATGATAGCTCAGACCTCACCAGCCAGACTGGGAAGTTGCTTTGGGTGGCTTTTTGTAAACTTTGGGTTAATGTTGCTTTGGGACCTATGCTCTGGGTCACTTTCCCTCTCTCCCACCATCCAATTAGAGCATCCACAAMCTGGACCAACACAGGAACCTGCTCCATCATCCCCCAACAAGTAGTGCTGTGCAGGGCTACCTGAACGCACTCCATCACATGTGTGTGATGTGTGAATTTGGATTATGGAGGAGTGTTGTACCAGACCCTGTTCCACTAAAACCAACACAAGGATCCCATTTCATTCAGGAGCCAGGAGCTCAAAGACAAACTCTGCAGAGACATTCAGCGCTGCTCTGGGAACAAATTTAAATTCTGTTCCAACAATRCTCCATACAGGACCCAGAGCTGAACGTACTTTTGAAGGTACAATGGGATTTGCACAGTTCTGTCCTGTGGCAAAAAATAAAAACAAACCACATAAAAAATCCACCTGCAAAGCTGAGGTGACTACATTTAATGCTGCACTGACATCACAGTCCAGCTAAGCCATCCAGGTATGTGGACTGACTGTATTTAAAGGCAAGGATGCAATTCAAATGTTGCTGATCCCTTGCCTTTCTCAGGGCCGGGACAACTGTGCACCGCACTCTCCTGTCCCCAAGACAGGYAAATTAAATTATCCATCTTGCTGCATATATTGTGCACGTTAGCTCTAGGCATTTCTGGACACTAGATAAGTAATTAACTGCAACTTGTAACAGATTGCTGTATCTTTTCCAGGACTTTAGCTTCTGAACAGAAAAATAAAGATTTCAATCTTCATAAATGAGTGATGGTCCTGACCAGTGAACTGCAGATTTGTAGGAGACAAATAAAGCCAGCTGAAAAACATGTGAAGTTTCATACTCCATGCACACCACTAGATAAACTTTTAACATGGGTACTGCACTGAAGAGATGTGTGGAAAYAGCTCTTAAAAGTCCAGTTGTGTAAAATCATGTAAGAGCAAATATATGGATACATTTCCAACACAAATACTGTCCTTAGCTTGACTTCCTAATTGAAGAAATTGTAATATACAAACAGAAAATAAGCAGTGGCAACACATAATGAGAACAAGTAAATATAATTCACATTTAAAAAAGAACTGTGTATAAATTGAATGTTTACCTAAGTGCTGTTTCAGAATTTTACTTAAGACCTTTATTGTAAGTCCCTCTGAGAAGACACTAACTTTTTATTGCTTTGTACTGATTCTTCATGCAAGGATTTGTAGATATTTGTCTTAACCTACTGGAAACCAAAGAAGCTGAACCAATAACTTCTTTTACCCGTTTTTGGGGGGGGGGAATGGGTCTTAAAAAAAAGGGAAAAAATACAAAAACCAGACTTTAGCAATAAAGTAACTTCCCCAAGAAAAAAAAACCAAAAAACATTATTGCGTGCTGCTTTGGAAATGGTCCTGAGAAACCACAAACCATCAGTCCCACAGGAGTTATAAGAGTTTAATAATAAAGGCTTAGCACAGCCTCAATACCACATACCATTGCAGCAGTACACTGCACAGGCCAAGCCAAACAGGGACTACGGGAACACATCACAACACAAGGCTGTGATTTGGCACATCCTCATTCAGCCACTCAAGCTCTGAGGTCTGCTTTGCTCTCTTGTGTGAATAATCAACATCTCTCATTCYATAGCCCTGCTCTCCAGATACCCCGATGGATTCCTACAGAACTGCAACCTGTATTTAATAACRTTTAATGTAATTTATATCTCCAGAGCTTGATCAGAGAGCAGAAATCCTGCAGAGCTCCATCAGCTGGACTGGGGATGGCAATTGCAATAATGTCAACTAATAAAATTTTGATTCA